CACCCTCGCGAGTTTCTGGGCAGGGCCCGATGGGAGCGTCAGCTCCCGTAGCTGTTCGGAAACCATCATGTGGCAGTCGGCATGCTGGCTGATCCATTTCGGAACCGAGAAACGACCCCTCGGGGTCGGGAGGGAAATCGTGGCAGCGACGGGAATGTGATCGGAGGAGGCCCCTGGATGCATGAGGGCGCCGACAGCGTTGACAACAACGGTCATCTCATTGAGGATACCTGCAGGAAGGGTCGTGTAAATGCGATCAAATCTGGCCAACCCCCTCAGTTCCCGATTCACGATATCCCTTCGGGTCGGGTCTGGTAGGTATAATTCACACCAGCGGCTACAATGTTCCTGAAAAGCATCACATTGCAAACGGTCCGCAGGCCCAATCTCCCCTGAGACAAGAGACCTACCATCCTCCATCGTACAGAAATTCCAGTCTCCCAGAATGATAACCATAGTATGCGCTGCCGCAGGAAGGGCGGCATTGATGAGGCGTAAGTACTGGTGATAGGTATAAACGTCATCGCAAGTGTTAGGCATATGAACATTGACCACTACCACCAAGTCTCCTCGAGGTCCCCTACCATGGACGAGTAACACCCGCCCAGGAACGACCGTAATCGGAGCGATCGGGTCGAAGCAGTCACAGAGATCCGAAGACAGGAAGGTCACCACCCCACCCGCGTTCGGATCCTCCAGAAAGCTCCCAAAAATTTGCCCGGTCCGCATTTCGTCCCGAAGGACAACCAAGTCTGCTTCAGATCCGTGCGTCTCCTGTAAGCACATGACCTGATACTGTGAGAGCAGCTGCTTAGCCCGAAGGAAGCGCGAGCGCGACCGAGATGAACGAGACGAGAGAGAGGCGAAGAGCGCGCGCGTGTTCCAACTGCAGAGAGACAGAGGACGGGCAGGACGGTAGACACCACCAGCTTCCCAAGCAGGCGGCGAGAAGGATAAAGCACTGTCACTTGCGCGGTGTAAATCAAACTGGGCAGGGAGGGCGGACGAGCACTCAGTAGCTGAACCCACTGGACTTCTCCCCGCCGCCCACTCACCTGTCGAACTGTTCCGACACTCACCGAAGGGGCGGATCTCTGCGAATTTGGCGTGCAGACATTGTGCATGCTGCTGCCCTCCCACTTCCGTCAACCCATCGATCTCGACGCCACGCTGCACGGTGCCCGCGGTGGGGCCATCATCCACAATAGAAATCTTAACCACTTGCACGGGGACTCCGTTGTCCTTCATCACATACACCGCGCCTCCTAATCCCGTCGACCCCACCTTGTCCGCCCCAAAGATTCTGGAGACATGCTGTCGCATATTCCCGAGGTAGTAAAACAGCTTCCTGGAGGAGGGGGGAAGATCACGTCGGACCCGTAGCTGTAAGTCGGGACCGCCATCGGGGTTCGAGACGGGGGACGCGCCCACGGACGATGCCATCCCATGGAACGTGGAGGCCTCTAAGTTGGAATCAAAGTCCAGGAACACCTCCTTACTGCAATCGTAGGCCTTGACCTGAATCGAACCCTGAGTCGAAGACGGAGCACAGCGGGCGATGATACTCTGGACAGCTTCACGGAGCGTTTTCTCCATCAGCGGCCGTGGAAATCCAAGAACCACAAGACGCGAGGGGGTGCCCAATAGCCCAGAGTCGACCTTCCGACGGACTTGCCTTTCTTCATCCCCACGGGGTGTCGGGGTCCCCAGCTCGACGACTTTCTGAAGGTCCTGGATCTCATCACGCATCGTCTGGATCATTCCTTTGAGCTCCTCACGGATGGCGGATTCTGCGGTCTCACGGTCCTGAATGCACTGAAGGAGAGCCTGTTCGTGGATCGCACGCATCTGCTCGAAATTGGCTGCCGTCTGTTATGCCAGTTCAGTGTGCGCCTGCTGTAATGTCTGGAAGTTCTTCTCAGCGGCGATCATCTGACCCTGGATTCCCGAAATATGTTGGTTAATCTCCTGTACGCCGAGATTCAACTGACTGGACAGGCTGGCGACCGACGACGACAGAGGAGCAATCATATCACGCATGGCGGCGAGGATCTGCTCGGTGTCCCTCTTACCCTCCGTGGACGTACCTCCAGGCGCCGCCGGGGGGGTACTCATCCCTCCAGGGGAGGCGGGAGGAGAAGATGTGAGAGATACTGGCCAGGACTCGCTGACCTCGGACGGAATTGCGGGAGGAGATCGCGGCGACAGGGGGGCAAAGGGAGAGCGGCCCCGCGGGGCCAGGGGAGCGCGTCCGCTCCCGGCCTTGGTGCCTGGCCACCAGGCGCCTCGAGAGAGGTTGGAAGTTAAGGAGCAGGCCCCTTGAGCCAAAATGGCTACGGAAGGAGGAGGAGGAGGAGGAGGAGGAGGAGGAGGAGCGTGTCGCTAGAGACATCCTCATAAACTGGGGATGTTGCTTGCAACGCTGGTTCTCAAAATTGAAGTTCTCGCCAAAGACATCCCCAGGAAACAAAAAAACAAAAACAAAAAATGTTAGGGATCGGACGTCGGACATACAAAATGGCGTCGGGGCGCGTTTCACGTGAGACATTCTCACAACATGGGGATGTTGAAGGAATGTTTGTTCGACGTTGATTCCCAAACATCAGGCGATCGCCTGAGACGCCATCAGAAAAATGAGAAGTTGGAGATCGGGCCTCGGGTATCCAACACGGTGTGGAGGAGCGTCTGGCTTGAGACATCCTCACAAGGTGGGGATCTTGGAGGGGTTGACTTACGACGTTGGTTCTCAAGAATCGAACTTCGGGAGGGGGGCATTCCCAAAACACTGACACGCTGGAGATCGGGCGTCGGATATCCAAAATGGTGTGGGGAGGGGGCGCGGCATTTCGCCCGAAACATCATCAAAACATGGGGATGTTGAGGACATGTTTGTCGACGCTGGTTGTCAAAATTGAAGCTTGCGCCTGGGATATCTTCAGAAAACTGCAATGTTGGAGATCGTGCGTCGGATGTCAAGCATGGTGTGGCAGGCCGTGTCGCCTGAGACATCCCCACAAAATGGGGATGTTGAAAGAAGATTTTTATAACGCAGGCTCTCAAATATGACGCTTTCGCCGGAGACATCCTCAGAATGACCATATGTTGGAGATCGGGCATCAGATATCCAACATGGTGCGGGGGGGAGCGTTTCGCCTGAGACATCCTCGCGCAATGAAATTGTTGGAGGAGTTGCGTTACTACGCTGGTTTCCCAACGTGAAGCTTGTGCATGAGACGCTCCCACTGATATGGTGATGTCGATCTCGGTGTGACGATGTGCTTCGCTGTAGACATTACCATTCGAAAGGATACGTTCAGCGAGCTCCCGAATTCGACGTGCCTTCAAGAGCTTGGCTCTCGTCTGAGAAGAGTCTAACAGCAGATATGTTGTACTTGCATTCCGTACAAGATTCGTGGGTCCCTCAAATGTTCAAAAACATCCTGACGTACATGCCTCGCAGTGCGGTCTCCCCGGAGAAGCCTTCGTGAACAATGGGGTTCACCGAGCTCTTCTGGGGGCAACCCCTCCCCAGCACCTCCGGAGCACCGCCGTTGGGGCTGCCACCTTTGAAAAATGGAAACCCTGGCCCACAGTGCGCTCCGCCATCCTCCAGACCACGTCCGGCCCTGGCGACGATGAGCGTCCCGAGATCAACGAAAACACAGGTACTTGTCCAACTGTAACACGAGCACTCTCCCGCCATCCTCGTCCTCGTCGTCCTCGTCGTCCTCCTCCTCCCTCCTCCTCCTCCTCCTCCTCTTCCTCCTCCTCCTCCTCCCCCTCCTCCTCCGCCTCCTCTTCCTCTTCGTACAACCTCGGGCGATATTGGCGGACCTCCTCGCACACGGCATCTCTGCGCCCAGACTTGTGGGATGTCATCTCAAGCGCAACTGGCCAGATCGCTTCCTGCGCGGCATCGGATCGCATCGTGCGTTGCATCTCCAAGCTAAGAAATGCGAGGATGTCTCAGGCGAAGTGGTCGGAGGACCCCAGGTCAGGGCATCTCCGAGCCCAGAGATGCGAGAATGTTTCAGGAGAAGTAGGCCAGACCACCTCTGGCGCAGTGTCTGGGAGCCCAAATCCAGAAATGCGAAGATGTTTCAGGCGAAACGGGTCGGACCATCTCAGATCAGGTCGTCTCGGAACACAATCTTGTGAAGACGTCTCAAGCGAAACGGGCCAGACGACCGCATCATTTTGAGAATGCCTCGACGCGCGAGACCCCAGGGCCGCACACATTCTTACCACAGCAATGCCACCGGGCAGCGGCCGGGCAACCAGAGAGCACTCCACAACAACACTTTCATGACGGCAACAAACGAGAACCTCAATCTGGCGGCCTCCTGCGATTCCACCATGGTTGATCCAACCCCCCAAGGTGGTACCCCTCCTGGTCGACGCTCCCCCCTCCTGCATGCTACTCATCTATCAACAACATCATCAACATCACCATTATCGTCACCTCACCAACACCATTACGATAACCAGACACCACCGTCATCAATATCATCAGCATCATCAGCATCATCATCATCGTGACATTATCATCGTCACCATCACCATCGTCATCATCACAATCATAATCCTCATCATCAGCAGCATCAAGATCATCAGCATCATCATCATCATCATCATCATCATCATCATCATCATCAGCAGCAGCAGCAGCAGCCGCATCATCAGCACAATCATCAGCAAATAGTCATCATAACCATCATCATCAGCATTATCAGCATCGTCAGCATCGTCATTCTCATCACAATCAGAATCAGCATCACCATCACCATCATAATCCTCATCCTCATCATCATTAGCATCATCATCAGCAGCATCAAAAGCATCATCCTTATCATCAGCATCATCCTCAGCATCAGCATCAACATCATTACCAACGATAACATCATCAACACCTCTCTTGCGCCGCCCATTCCCCCCACCTGCCTCCCTCCTCCATTTCCTCTGATTACGTAACCACACCCGCCCAATCTCCCTCCTCCTGCATCCCCGAGTCCCGGGTCAGCAGAGGCTCCGTGAAGAAGCGCGCGAAGCGGTCCAGCGCGCCTTGCGATCTGCCCTTGCCTTCACAAAATCCGTTCACCCTTCCTGCTCATCGTCGTCCTCATCATTTTCATAAATTTCTCCTCCTCCTCCTCCTCCTCCTCCTCCTCCTCCTCCTCCTCCTCCTCCTATGCTTCCTCATTCTCCTCCGCCTCCGCCCCTCCTCCTCCTCTTCATCGTTCGCATCTTCTCTTCCTCCTCCTCGGAGGGTCAAGCACGCCCGACGAACGTGCATATGCCGAACCCCCGAGGCAGGGGCTGGGCGCGTGCGGCCGTGACCCGAGAGCAGCCCCACGCCACAGCTGGCCACGCAGAGCGCACGCCGTGGTCGCAGCGCCGCGCAGGACCAGCACGGCAGCCCGAAGAGCCCGAGACTGCGTGGTGTGCTTTCGGCACCCCCCTCGGGGGCGTCCGAGAGGGGAGCGTGGATCAGAGGATGGGTTACCGATGAGGCTGCCCTTCCGTCGTCCCCACGGCTGGATTCGCCTCGACATCCTGGCCAGAACGCACCCGAGGAGAGGTCCGTGGAGTAGAAGTATGGGTATGTGTATGTCCCCCCGGTGGGCGAGGGAGGTCGCAAATCATGGCCAGAGGCATGTGCGCGGACGAGGGGGGGTCCGAAAGAAGAGGAGGGCGCCATGACGTCTGGGAGTTATCACCAAGCCATGATATCCACACTCCCCTAGCCCCCTGCCTCCTCTCTTGGACGCACCCGACCCCCAGAGCTTTGCATAACACATCGCACATGGTCCCGAAGTTCTGCCCCTCACGCTCCCTGAGACTTCTTCCAAGAGATGGCGCAACAGACGGGGGGGCTTCAAAGCAGAGCGATGCGCGGCATTACATTACGTTCCTTTAAGTGCAACACTCCCTCGCCCCCAGGGATGGGGCACGCGTTGCGCTCAGTCACAACTCCTTTACGCATGGAATGTTCAAGGTTGCGCGGAGAGCGTGCTGAAACACATATATATATATATATATATATACATATACATATACAGAGTATAGATGCGACGCGCACCTGGTCATACACGCCTACACGCCCCTCTTGAGATACAGGGAGTGGAGCCGTAGGATCAGCGGAGACACTCGTCTAAGACACAGCGGAACAGAACGCTGATCCTGAGCCCCGCGAGAGCGCGTGGCCGCAGGCCCTAGGGTCTCAGCGGAAGTTGGCCTGCCCATCGCGTCAGTAGGTGTCCGCGTGCCAGTCGAGGACACGGGTCCAGACAGTCGATGTCCTGATTCGTTCAATACGCGGTTCACGAAGACCCGACCCTTCGACGGTCCAGGGGCTGGGCAAGGGCCCCCAGAGGCCGTCCTGGTTTGTTTCAGGACGTTGCATGTCTGGGGGGTCATCATGTACACATCTCGACTGCTCCAGTCCTCCAGCGAGATAACCAGTGGAGGCATCCCGACCTTCGAGCTCTGGCCGCGCGCACAATTGGCACCCTCTGGCGAGAGAAGGGACAATTCCTTCCAGGCATTCTGGCTTCACCTCGAACATATAGTTGGTCACGTAACAGGCGGTGTTCGCGTTCGTCATCCCGCCATTCTGCTTAATGTACTCTGAGTACTCGCTCTCCTGTGGAGACAAGGGGACGAGGCTCGGGGGGGGGGTCAGGAGGGTGCAAAGAGGGGGATGTTCCTTAACTCGATCGCACAGAATGCATTCAGCTGTTCGGAGGTCCAACCTTGAAAGTACCTCTTTGCTCCTCCTCCTCCTCCTCCTCCTCCTCCTCCTCCCCCTCCATCTCAAACTACTACACTCCTCCTCCTCCTCCTCCTCCTCCTCCTCCTTCTCCTCCTCCTCCCCCTCCTCCTCTGCTCTCGCGGCACTGCCTCGCACTGCGAGACTGCCCAAGGTCCCCCTGGACCTGCAGGAGAAGGGGCTTCGATTCAGGATCCCTCGAAGACTCGAAGAGCGCTGGACTGGAGTCGGCGGCGGGGTGCGCCATGCCAAGACACGCGTCCCGTAGACTCGCTCCCCATACGCTGCCAGGTCGCCTCGCCGGCTCCTTCTTCCGCGTGATGCTGCCACGACTGCCGACCCAGCGGAGGTTCCACATCCAATGACGTTAGAAGCGGCTGCTGAGACACCTGCCATACCAACGCCCACTCCCTCGGTACGGGTACAGCATGGTGCCGGGCAAGCGGGGAAGCGCTGGATGTGACGGCGGTGCAGGTGCCTGAAGACCCGGAGAAAAAGCAAGCCCACGCTGAACCGCCTCGGGGAGGCGCCACCTCGGCAAGAAGCTGACGCCCGCCATCGTCGAACCCAGGGGTACAGAAGGGAAATCATGATGTCGGCCACTTCTTGAAAATCAGCAGCTCGGTCATCCCCCCGTTGATGGCACCAAGCTGCGCGACGGCCTTCCTCTCAGCGTGATGGGAGATCCGATCAGAGGTTATCGGGCGGCCCACACCCACATAGAGCGGGAGAAGGAGGCGGAGGAGTGGGAGGAGTGGGGGGAGGAGGAGGAGGAGGAGGAGGAGGAACCCAGGAAACCCGAGTCCCCAAACTCCTCCCCAGCGCTGCGCGGCCGCCCCGAGCTCTCGGAGGACTGCGAAATCCCTGCGGGGCCCTGGATGGCACCCGCCCTTCGCCCCCTGCCTCGCCCGCCCACAAGCGCGCCGAGGGGGGGCGGGGGGGGAAGGCAGAGGGGGAGGCAGAGGGGGCAGGCCTCCTCTGAAGGCTCAGAAGGCCTCCGACTTTCCGAAGAACTTTCTACTTGAGCCTTCTCCGACGACGCAGACGGCTTCCCTGAAGGCCAGAGGGCTTCCAGGAAGCCCCGCCGCTTTTGGAGAGGGCCTGCCCACTCTCACAGGGAGAGGAGGAGGAGGAGGAGGAGGAGGAGGAGGAGGAGGAGGAGGACGCGAGCGCGGGCGTCGCTGGCGGCAGATCGTGCCACAGGTGCGGGCGCGATGGAGCGGGTGGAGCAGACGAGGGCAACCGCGGAGGAGGAGGAGGCGGGAGGGGCCCGGGCGCCGAGAGCCAGCGAGTGCAGGGCGACGAAGTCTACACATATCCGCTGCTCTCTGGCCAGGCCCATCCTGAACCCAGCAGCGGTGCATACGCCGCGCCCTCCTGGCTTGGCCAGGAGGGCTTCTTCACGGCTCCTGGGCCAAGGAAGGGCCTGGCCACGGGGCAGCGGATCTGCATACGCTCCGTCGCCAGAGAGTGAGCAGTGCGCGGGCGGCCTCAGGCACCGGGAAGGTGTGGAACCGGAGGCAGAACGCGCAACGAGCACGCGCCACGCACTCGGACCACCGAGCCTCCTCGGTGCCGCCCGCCGACACGACACGCACCTGCTCTCCTGCGACGGGCAGAAGCAGCAGGAGCGGCAGCCCGCCAGGTGCTGGGGGCGAGGGGTCAAGGACGGCCCACGAAACACGTCCCGCCGTGCTTATTTGCCCCCTCGGGCCTTCGGGCCGCAGCCCCTGACCCAGACCGCACGGGGTCGGGAGGGAGGGGGTGGGAAGGCCGGAGCCGCATCGTCGAAGCAACGCCGATACATCGGCGATGCATCGACGACGTCGGCGATGCATTTACGACGCTGGTGCAGAGAGCATCGGGCTCCACATGGAGCCGAATCACCGATGCAACGGCGATGCGGCGCGATCTTCGACCCCATCTACTCCGACCCCATCAGGGGTGCCTGGAATCGGCGAGGCCTGGACGCGGAGGGCAGAGAAGGGGGGGGCCACCAGCCACCAGAGAGGTCTTTCAGGTACGTCTTGGTCCCGACCCTTTCACCGGGACCGGCGTTTCATCCCGAGTCGTTCCTTGACAGTCCCAGGACCTGGCAGGAGCCCCCAGAGGCCCGGCAGGGGACCCCGAGAGGCCCTCGCGCCCTGGTTCATGTTCGGGACGCGAGCAGACCGGGGGGACGAGGTCCTTCGGGTACTTCTTGGTCCCTGTGAAGAGCATGTGCTCGAGGAAGTGCGCCAGCCCGGGCAGGTCCTTCCTGGCGGGCGCGGGCTGGGCGGCCGCTCTCACCACGCCGGGGGCGGCAGGCCGGCGAGGAAGCGGGCTCTGGCACGGGTGGGCCCTGCAGAGGCCGCGGCCCCCGTCGGCATCCTCAGCGCTGCACTTCGGCGGCGAGCCCCGGGGGCGAAGGCAGTTCGGGCTCGAGGTTCGGGGCTTTCTTGTGTGTGCGTTGGCTCTCGGCGGTTTTATGGGCCTGTTTTCCACCACCACCACCACCACCACCATAAGTTGGAGGGGGAGGGGAACCTCCTCCTCCTCCTCCTCCTCCTCGTCTTCCTCCTCGCCCTCCTCTCTCCTCGTCCTCCTCTCTCCTCCTCCCCCTCTTCCTCCTCCTCCTCCTCCTCCTCCTCCTCCTCCTCCTCCTCCTGCTCCTCCTCCTCCCCTCCCTCCCTCCCTCCCTCCCTCCCTCCCTCCCTCTCCCTCCCTCCCTCCTCCCTCCCTCCCTCCCTCCCTCCCTCCCTCCCTCCCTCCCTCCTCCCTCCCTCCCTCCCTCCCTCCCTCCCTCCCCCCTCCCTCCCTCCCTCCCTCCCTCCCTCCCTCCTCCTCCTCCCTCCTCCTCCTCCTCCTCCTCCTCCTCCTCCTCCTCCTCCTCCTCCCTCCTCCTCCCTCCCCTCCTCCTCCTCCTCCTCCTCCTCCTCCTCCTCCTCCTCCTCCTCCTCCTCCTCCTCCTCCTCCGCCTCCCTCCTCCTCCTCCTCCTCCTCCTCCTCCTCCTTCGCCTCCTCCTCCTCATCCGCCTCCGCCTTATCCTCCTCCTCCACCTCCTCTGCTCCTCCTCCTCCTCCTCTCCTCTCCTCCTCCTCCTCCTCCTCCTCCTCGTTCTCCTCCTCGTCGTCCTCTCTCCTCGTCCTCCTCTCTCCTCCTCCCCCTCTTCCTCCTCCTCCTCCTCCTCCTCCTCCTCCTCTCCTCCTCCTCCTCTAATTCTCCTGCTCCTCCTCCTCCTCCTCCTCCTCCTCCTCCCTCCTCCTCCTCCTCCTCCTCCTCCTCCTCCTCCTCCTCCTCCTCCTCCCCTCTCCCTCCTCCGCCTCCCCTCCTCTCTCCTCCCCTCCGCCTCGCCTTCTCCTCCTCCTCTTGCTCCTTCTCCTCCGCCTCCTCCTCTTCCTCCTCCTCGTCCTCCTCCTCCTCCTCCTTCTCCTCCTCCTCCTCCTCCTCCTCCTCCTCCTCCTCCTCATCCTCCTCCTCCTGTTACTCCTCTCCCTCCTCCTCCTCCCACCTCCAAGTTCTGGTGGTGGTGGTGGTGGAAAACAGGGTCATCATATCATTTACAGACGCGATATGAGTTCCAGCGCCTGCGCCCCCCGTCGAAGACTTTGTTCCGGGAGCGCCCGGATTCTCTCGAGCGGCCGCCGGAGGCCTGTTATGTGACCCGAGAGGCACCCGCAGAGGGGGCGGGGGCCTTGTCCGAAGGCTCGGAAGGCCTCCAGTCTTCTGTAGAGTTTCTGTGCCAAGCATAAGTCTAAGCTTAAGCCTAAACCTTTCGGGAAGTTGAACCCTTTTCCCCGCAGACAGAAATCTTCTCATGAGGCCGGAAAGTTTGTGAGAAGCCCCGATTCCTTTTTAGAAGGACGTTGGTTAAAAGGCGCGGGCGATGTCTACAAACGTAAGGTTTCCGCCTTCGAAAAAACAGCCTCCGTCTAAGTAGCCTTCCCCCTCCTTCTGCCCCCTCGTGCGCGCCGCAAACAGACGACCAAAAGAAAGGATGGGGCCCTTAGGTGGTCGTACGATGGCCAGAGAAATTTGTGCTTGGAGGTGGTATTGGCTCAGTGATTCAAGTTCCACTTAAAAGAATGATTGTTGCTGATACCCTCTGGTAAACTTTACCTATTTTTCCAGAATCAGAAACCCCCTTCTCGGGGCTCGCACCATGTTTGTATTAGGGGAAGCCTGGTGTTGCCAAACTGCGTTGCGGGGCGCCGGACTACAACAGCAACGGCTCCCGCCTGATACTTCCTCACAATGGATTCCGAACGCGCGCTTTCGCACGGGACTTTCTCACAAGTTCTGCCAGAATCGCACTTTCGCGTGGGAAGTCGTCGCAGTGTATTCAATCACCTCGCCCTCGATTCTGAATAATCACGCTCTCGCTCTGGCTTTTCTAACGATCTACTATGGAATATCGAATATCATTATCGCTCGAGATTTTGTCTGCGATTCCTGCAACACTCACGTTTCATTAACACGCCTTCTCGACCTGGTCGCTTTGGTCAGCCTTCCCGACCCGCCCATTAAGAAGGGCATCCGACAAGGAGAAAATACGATGAGGAGACAGGAAACAGCCTGTGCACTCCCAAGGATAACGATGAGGATTACTTCAAAATTAGTTAGGAGGATCCTCACGTTGGGGCCTAACGTTGGAGTAATTGAATGTTGTTCGTCGTCACCGTGGTAATTACTCTTCAGGGTCTTCGCAATCGGGCTCCACATCGAACGGCATCACCGATGCATTTGCGATGCGGCACGACCTCCGACCCCAATTACTCGGCTCAGATTAGAGGGGAAGCAGGGGGAGCACAGAAGGGGACAGGGGGAGAGGGGGAATGGAAGGAGAGAAAGGGGGAGATGGGGAGGGGCGCAAGCCAGAGAAGGGAGCAAAGAAAAGAGGCGGATACGGGGGAAAGATGGGCGAGCGGGAGCGAGGAGGGAGAGGGGAGAGGGGAGATGAGAAGCTAGGTGCGCAAATGACATATATGACGTCCGTCGCCTCCCTCCCGTCCCTTCCAATTGCGTGGATCTCCTGCGTCAACGCAGCCCGTTGCCGAGCAAAGCCCCCCAAGGAACCGCGACGATTTCACAATGGAACGATTCCAAGACGTTGCTTTCCTCAAGCTGGACCGCGGGGAATCATCACGGAACGACCGCGCGCCATCGAATCGCCGCGCGCCGCCTGCCCCCGCCATTGAATCGAGCCAGGCGAGCCGCGGAGGCGCGACCAACGCGGCCCCCGAGCCAGGCCGCCGAGTGACCGCCATGGAACTCATCGCCGCGATGATGCTTCATTCCGCAATCGTCGGGCATTGCGTCCGCGCGAATTTGGGCGCGAGCCGCAGTCGAAGCGCACGCGCGCGCGGCCGTCGAAAGGCCAGGCGCTGCCCGACCGCGCGGCCGATAGCTTGCGCGGGAGAAACACCTCCCAAGCTGATGTATGATGGAACGCGCCGGCTCGGGACCGACGGACCACGAGAAAGGGCCACTTTGGAGACCCCGCGTGAAGAAGAAAAGCTCGAGCGCGAGCGCCGCGTGGGGAATTGGCGGGACGCCAGAGGCGGTTGGGTCTCACGCCCGCGCAAGTTGAGCAAACTCCGCTCCTGGCGAGTAGCGCTCGTAGGGCCCACCGCGGGCGCAGGGGCCGCTGGCGCAGACTCTGCCGCAACCGCGGCGGGGCCCCGGGGCTCTCCCCTGGGGGCCACGGCGCGCGGCTGCGCTGGTGGCGGAGAAGAGGAGCCTGACGGCAAACGTCGGCTTCGAAGCATCAACGGCCGGCCGCGGGCGCGGCGGCGCAATCGCGAACCCGCCGCGCAAGGCAGCGCAGCCCGCCGCGAGGGCACCATCTTCAACCGAGCGAGGGTCCCCGGGGGAGCCCCTGGCCCCCTCCCCGACCCCCCCGCCGCCCTTCCGCGGCGCCCTGCTCCCCCTCCCTGTTCGACCACGATTTGGGACACTTTTTGGCCACGATGTTGCACACTTCTTTGGCCTCCCTTCCGCGGACGCGCACTTTTTTGTCCACGATTCTTCTCAAATTTCAATCAATTTGGACAAAAATCGTGTTCAAAATCGTGGGTGGTTTCGTGGGGCCTTGCAAGGGGGCGCGGAGGCCGAAAATCGCGGGCAAAATCGTGTCCGAAATCGTGGGCACAATCGTGTCCGAAATCGTGGGCGAAATCGTGTTGCCGAAATCGTGGGCGAAATCGCGGGCGCAGAATCGCGGGCCCGCCCGGTGCGCCGGCGTGCCAAGCAGGCGCGCCCGCGCAACATCAGCGACGGTAGAGAAACAAACAAACAAAAAGGAGGAAGCGGCAGCAGCGGCAGGAAGGCCAGCAGCAGCAGAGGGAAAAGGAAATAATGGGAAGCAGCAGCAGGAGAGGAGGAGAGGAGGAGTCGTCGAAATTGGCCCGCCCGTTCGTCGCGCGCCCCACAGCGCGCTGGACATGCCCCTCGGGGGAGACTCGCCGGCCCCACGGGCCAGAGGCGCGCGAAGATCTCCAGCGACTGCATCGCAGCATTTCTACTTCGCGCGCGTGGGGCGACCCAGAGGGGCCCCCGGACGCAAAGTGCCCCTGGCAGGTCGGGCCAGAGATGGTAGGCTGGGCGCCCCGAAGCGATGAAAAGGCCCCAAGATGCGGCCGAGACGGTCCAAGAGGGCTTCGAGTCGTCGAACGATCGGCCCGCGACACTCACGATGGCTTCCAGACGGCCCACGACGCGCGCAAGACCCCCGAAGAGGCCACCGCGAGCTGAAACGATACCCGAAAACGCGATTCGAAATTCTGAAAAAATGGTAGCAGAGAGACAAGGCGGAAACAGACCGGGGGCGACGCCGCTCGAATGACGCTTCGAAGCGAGATTGCGCACAAGCCGCACGCCGAATGCCCAATATCGGAGCGGGTCGGCGACGCAAGGAATTCTGAACAAAGAAAAACCGAACAACTTGCAAATATAATATTTGTTGCTTCGGAGAAACACACAAAATCGTTACACCAGTCCGCTTGGGGGGCGCAGCTTCATGAAGTCGGATGTCGAGCAGGGCAATGATCCCGACAGAGTACGCGATGCATGGTATATCACGGTATAGCATGGCAAAGAAGATCACGGCCACTGCCGACGTCGTCGCGTCAAGAACGCGACTCATCTCGGCAACAAGGTCAGACGGAAACCAGAAGAGCGTTTGTCCCCACACGACAGGTTAGTGTTGTGCGATTTCAGAAGCAGGCCCCCTGGCCAACCCCACCCTGTATACTGCGGCCGCCAGACCCCAAAATGTCCCAGTGATCCCGTGTATCCCGCCTCGCGCCAAGCCAACCCCACCCTGCACACCGCGACTGATATACCCCAAATTGTCCCAGTGATCCCGGGTGTCCCGCCTCGCGCCAAGCCAACCCCATCCTGCGGCCGCCAGACCCAAAAGTGTTCCGATGATCCCCGAGTCCCAGGAGTCCAGCCTCGCGCCCTCGACGAACACGACAGAACACAATATGACAGAACAGAACATGACAAAACGAAACAGAGCATGGTAGACCATGGCAGCACATAACATACTTACATCATGACAAAAAAAGAGCGTAACATCACAACACATACCATACCAGGGCAGGTCATGACATAATAAAAGACGATATAACACATCATAACATAACACATCTTGTCATAAAATGTCATATCATGCCACAGCACCACAGATCATAACACAGCACGACAGCAGAGCATAGCGACGACGAACACGACAGAACACAACATGACACAACAGAACATGACAGAGAAAACATGAGGGTGACAGACTATTGCAGAACAGAACATAGCAATGCCAGAACAAAGCATGGCAGAAATAACATCACATAATACATCCGATCAAAACATGGCATCACAGAATCCTACATAGCCCGACATAACAGAACAGAGACGAGCATAGCATGACGCACCTTGGCATAACATATCATACCATGAGACAGCAAAGCATCGCATATCATATACCACGACAGCAGAGCATAGCGACGACGAACACGACAGTACACAACATTACAGAACAGAACATGACAGAACAGATTACGAGCATGACAGAGCATGACAAAATGAAACAGAGCAATGGTATGTCAAAATAAAGCGTGACATCGCATCACATGACATACCAGAGCAGAACATGACAGAACAGAAGAAAGCAGAACACAACAGATCAGAACAGAGCCGAGCATAGGCACAACACACCTTGACATAACATATCATATCACGGCCCAGCACCACAGAGCATAACATAACACGACAGCTGAGCATAGCGCCGACGAACACGACAGAACACAACAAGACACAACAGGACATGACGCAACAGAACGCGAGCATGACAGAACATGACAGAACATAACATAACACTGTCATGATAAGAAAAAAGCATTACATACCATCTCAGAACCTACCAGGGCAGAATATGACAGAACATAAGACGACAGAACACAACAGAACAGAACAGAGCCGAGCATATAGCATACCACACCTTGACAGAACACATCATATCAGAACATGTCATAACACGACAGCAGAGCATAGCGACACATACTAGCAAAGCGAATCACAAAAATTATACAGAGCCGAGTCATCAAAGGAAAGTCCATCACAGAACATACCCGAGCATAACGACTCAAACCACAAAACATATCACGTCACAACATGACATAACCGAGCATAGCAAAACACACCTTGACATAACACATCATACCATGAAGCGGCATCACATAACATATTATAACACGACAGCAAAGCATAGCGAAACATAACATCACATGCTATACCAAAGCATACCATGACAAACTAGAAAACGACATAACACAGCATATCATAGAACAACCGAGCATAACATCAGACACCATGAACGAACATATCATTCATAGCATGACAGCATCACAGAACATATCATGACACGGCAGCGTAATATACAGACACATACTTGCATATACATAATACACTATACTGAGCCGAGCTGCCCAAAGCATCACATAATAGACCATACTGCAAAATAATATAGCATAACATAGCATGCCAGAACATAATGCCACAGAGCAGCTAATATCAGAACATATACATATCAAAGCATATGGTGACATTGATGAGCATAACATAAACATACTCAACCAGAAGAGAAACATATGAGTGAAGAGGAACATCATAACAAACGACGCATCCAACGTCACAGGCGTCACGACGTCACGCCAACCACACGAGAACATAACAAGACATAATATAACATAAAATGAAAGAACGTGACTACATGAATACGGAACACGGTTGAACAACTTTTGAATCCAGAAATGGCAGTTGTCGACCAATCAACTAGGTGACCGCGTGCCCGTCGGGAACAAACTCTTAAGGTTTCGGTGGGGATCGCTCGAAGCAAAATAATTCATTCTGGGCCCGTAATGTCTGTCACGGAAGGGGGGGGCAGTAACGGTAACGATTGGGATGGGGGAAGGGGCCGGGGGCATGCGTGCACCGCAGCGCGTGTGCACGGCGCCTGTGCATACCGCAGAAGCCGTGAGCAACACAGCGCCGGTGCACACCGCAGCGCCTGCGTGCACAACAACGCCTGTGTACACCGCAGCGCCTGTGTACACCAAACCAGCCGTGTGCAACACAGCGCCGGTGCACACCACAGTGCCTGTGTGCACCACAGCACCTGTGTACACCGCATAGCCCGAGTACACCAGAGCAGCCGTGTACACCACAGCGCCGATGTACACCGCAGTGCCCGTGTGCACCACAGCGCCTGCGTATGCTTGAGCCAAGGAAACCCTTGAGCCACACGAGGGCGATCGACGACGTCCTGGGGCCTCTGGAGGCCCCAGGACGTCGTCGTTCGTCGTCGTCGTCGCCGTCGCCGGGCCTGTAAGAGAAAGATGGGGGAGGGAGGAGCATTATCTTCTGTTGTCACCAAGGCAAGGGTGCTTGCGCGCACCACGGCGCCTGCACATACCACAACAGCCGCCTGCAACACAGCGCCGGTGTACACCACAGCGCCTGCGTGCACCACAGCGCCTGTGCACGCCGCCGATGTTTACACCGCGACAGCCGCGCGCACAGGGGTGCGGGGTTCGCGCCAGGGCCCGCCGTACGATCGCGACCCCCCGTGACAAGCGTTAATACGGGGGGGAATAGCAAAAAACAATAAATGGAAATGACAGTGGACCAGACATGCAAACGGACGGTTGGGAAAGCGGGAAGCGCAAAATGATATCAACGCTGCAGCGGGAGCACGACTTCGAAAGACCGAGACCGCGGAAATGAGACCAGCGATGCAGTGGGAGCACGATCAGGAAAGACTGGAAGCGCGGAACCGAAGCCAACGCTGCAGCAGGAATACGATTTGGAAGAACAAGAACAATGAAATGAGGTCAGAGCCAACGCTGTGGCCGACGCGCCACTCTGGAAGGACTGAAGGACACCTCGCGGGCGTCTTCGGAGGAGTGAGGAGAGTAGCATTCACATTGTGATTTTTTTTGGAAGCTTGGAAATGGGCACCAACACCAACATCAGGGGTGGCCTCCACGGGAGGAAGATGATACTGGATTTGGGTGTTGGTGGCAATATTTGGCCACCTAGAGAGCCCGAATATCACCACCATCACCTAGATCGAGATCATCTTCCCTCGGTGGAAGCACACCGCCGATGTTTGTGTTGGTGTCAACCTCTAGGCCTCCGATAATCGTGGGGATGCGGGGCATGGGGAAAGAGGAGAGAAGGAGGGCGAATGAGAGAGGGATAGCGGGCCAGGGAGTGAGAGGAGGGGAACGGGGGAGGGCACGGGGCGGGAGGGGAGAGCCGGCGCTCCTCTCGTAGCACATGCCCACGTTCACGGTCAGCGCTGCTCCGGCCTTGTCGCACGCCTCCCAGCCAACTCCTCTGCTGACAGGCACCGCGCGCCACGTTTGCTTCTGGGCGAGAATGGCCCCCCTCCCAATTCCCCCCTCGATAAAGAGGCCCAGGGACACACAAATAAATACACACAAATCCCAGGATTCATCATATGTTTCCATATTATTGGGATTTTCGTCGTCCCCCCACCTACCATATTTTCCCATATTTTCTTGGGAGTCGACGATTAATTGTGTCTGTGCTTTTTCCCCTCCTGAGAAAGACGAAGCATGGGGGAGGGGGGCGAATGGGTGGAAGGAGTGAAAGAGAGCACCGTGGGCGAGGGTTGGGGGTCGGGGGGGTGGGGAGGAGGGGGAGAGCAGAAGGCGCCCCGCTTCGAGGTGGCGCGGGGAGAGGGGGGGCGAGAAGGTGGTTGTGATGTGCCTGTTTTCGACCACCACCACCATAAGTTGGACGGAGGGAAAGAGGAGGAGGACGAGGAGGAGGCGGACGAAGAGGAGGAGGAGGAGGAGGAGGAGAAGGAGGAGGAGGAGGAGGGGAGGAGGAGGAGGAGGAGGAGAAAGAGGAGGAACCCCTACCCCCTCCAACGTATGGTGGTGGTGGTGGAAAGCAGGTCCATCAAATTGGGGAAGCGGAGGGATTGCAGGAAGAGGGGAGCCAAAAGCCAAGGGATGGGGATGGGGAGTAGCGCCGGTTTCAGTTCGGCTGCAAAGGGGGAAGACCCAGCAAGAGGGCGGCGAAGGAGGAAGAGGAAGATCAGGGGCAGCGCCTCGCGCGCGCTTGAGAAAACGACCACCAAGCACAGGGAGCGGAGCCGCTGTAGCTTGAGCGCGATGGAAACCTAAACTCGAGATGCCTCCTCATCCTCCTCCTCTTCTTCCTTCTGCTTCCACGCTGGCGTGGAACAGTAACACCCGGCCACTCCAGCTCCAACATAGCCTACCGAACGCCCCGGACGTATCTACTCCGCAGGGGAGCGGCGAAATGGCGGAAGCCACTTGGATATGGACGCGGCACGAAGTAAAAGGATGCCCGCATTCTTTTTCTGCGCAAGACGAGAGAAAGAAGCACGGGCCGCGTGCGAGGAGAGGCGCCCGCCTCCGTGGCCTGCCGCGCCTGTGCAGATCCCCCTGTGATGATAATCGAAATCACACTACGGCGCGAAAATGACGTAGACGTGAATGGATATGCCCTCACAATCACGCACCCCAACGTTGTATGCCAGTCTGTGCCTGATATATATATATATATATATATATATATATATGAGGGGGGCCGAACGGTCATTCATTGTCCCTGGGTGCGCGGCTGAAGGGAGAATCCGTGGTGCAATGTATGCTTGTTGCGTTCTTGTTGATGCGTTGATGGTGTCAGTGCTGTTGTTGTTGGTGGTGGTGTTGTTGATGTTGCTGTTGCTGCTGATGCTATTGCTTATGTTGTTATTGTTGTTGCTGTTGTTGGTGTTGTTGTTGATACTGTGTTGTTGTTGAATTCTCCTTTCGGAAGCATAAATATTGTTGATCCCCCCACACCACCGGTGCATACTGTTTTCTCTCCATCAAAATGTGCCCCTCGACGCTCGCACCCGGTTTTTCGACAGGGAAACTCTTGATGCTCAAACAGAGCCCCTGGCCCCCGGGTTACAGCAACAACGGCTCCCGCCCGAGAGTTCCTTACATTTAGCCAGGACCCCCGCTCCCGCCCGAGACTTCCTCGCATTTTATTCAGGAATCGCGCTCTCGCTTGGGACTTCCTTACAATTTATTCCGGAATCGCTCTCCCGGCGCTCTGGAGTCGCGCTCTCGCTGGAGACTTGCTTGCAACTGACTGAAGAATGGCCTTGCGTTGGAATTTCCTGCAATTTGCCCAAGCGCCGCGCTCCCGACACCCTGGCACCCAGGAGTCGCGCCCGTTGTGGCCCCATGTGCATGCCCTTCGTGGCCCCGCTGTCGCCATTTGTGTCCCCCTCACTGTCCTACGTGGCCCAGTTGCTACCCTCAGTGGCCCCATAATTGCCTTCTGTGGCCCCGCATTATCTGCACTTCGTGGCCCCCGCTCGTTCGCGCTCTTCGTGGCCCCATACGCATTCCCTTCGTGTCCCCGCTGTCGCCCTTCGTGGCCTACTTCGGGCCCTTCGTGGCCCTGCTGTCGTTCTCTCTCGCTCTCGCTTTCGCTCGTCGTCGCCGTCGTCGCCGTCGTCGTCGTCGTGGTCGGTCCCGTCCGTCCCTCTTGGGGTCGGGTCGACGGTCCGCGGCCGCCCCGCCGATCAGCGCTGCCGCTGGCCAGGCCGACGGTCCGCGGCCGCCCCGCCGCTTGCTGGGGCCGGGCCTGCAATGAAGAAAAGTACACCCCCCAAAAGGGGTTCGATCGAAGACGAAGAGGGCGGGTATCGAGGGTTTGCGAAATACGCGTTCTTGGAAACTCGAGCATGTAAGGGTTGTTGTTGTAGTTGTTGTTGTTGTTGTTGGTGGTGGTGGTGGTGGTGTTGTTGTTCTGTTGTTTTGTTGTTGCTGTTGTTGCTGTTGTTGTTGCTGTTGTTGTTGTTAAACACTCCTAATGAATAATTCGCCGGCCCAACGGGCCAGTGGCGTGCTAAGATCTCCGGCAACTGGTTAACAATATTTCTGGTTCGCGCGCGCGGGGCGGCCCCTGGGGGTCCCCCGGCGAAAAGTACCCCGACCGCCGCCCGGGCGCAGCCCGGCCACCCTTTACGCGGAGATGGTTTTCCTCGTGGGTGCGGTCTCTGAGGCCCCCCTGAGCGCGCCAAGAGGGCCCCAAGAGGCCTCCACGACAGCCCAGAAGCGCTCCGAGTCACCGAACGAGCGGTCCAAGACGCCCAAGATGGCCTTCATACAGCCCTCGAGGCCGCCGAGAAGCCCCAAGAGAGCCTCAAGAGGCTCTCCAAGAGGGCTCCAACAAGCAGAAATCGTCTCATTCCCTCGGGAAACATAGATTTTTCGCATATACGACGTCTGGGGTTCACAGCGTCCAAACGTGCCCAAGAGGCCCCCAAGATCGCCCCAAGACGGCCCAACAAGCCACCAAGATAAGCCCAAGAGGGCCCAAGAGGGCCCCAAGACAGTCCCACAGACATCCAAGATGGCCCAAGACGCCTCCAAGACGGCTCTAAAAGCGAGCCCAGACGAGGCACCCGAACGGACATTTCGAGCTTTTGGCCCAGAGAGGTCCCCAGGAGGCTCCAAGAGGCCGTCAACACGCCTTCAAGAGGCCCACGGAGGCCCCAACATGATCGACCCACGAACCCGGAAAGGAATGTAGAACTGTAACACATGGCAGCGTTTTCAAAGACACCTGATTGGGTGACGGGCAAATGCAATACTGAAGGTATCGATCTTGATGTACCCTGCCGAGGGCTGTGCTGTGCTGCGCCGTGCTGAATTGCGATGTGCCATGGCGCGACTGTGCTCTATAGCCTCGTGGATCGAGTCCTCCTTTGCATCCGAGTCCTGACCGAACTGATCTGGATCTTAAGCTCGAGCTGCCTGAACACATAGTAGCTGCCCCAGAGCTAATGGACAGGGGAACATGCCAGGAGGACGCGACGCAGAACGTCTCAAGGGACGCGCCAAGCGACGTGCCAAGGGACGTGCCATGGGGACGCACCGCGGGACGTGCCAAGGGGACGCGCTACGGAACGTGCTGGGGACAAGCGTTTCGCTCGAGACATCCTGTCAAAATCATCTGAATTCCTACGCGCGGGACGCTGCACGCGCGAGACATCCTCGGAATTCCTGCGAGCGGGACGTGAAAACAAGCATTTCGCCTGAGACATCCTTTGAATTCTGGCCCCCCACGAGGCCACCGCTCGAGACATCCTCCAATTTTGCAAAACCAGCGTTTCGCTCGAGACATCCTCAACAAATTATGAAAAACAAGCGTTTCGCTCGAGACATCCTGTCAAAATCCCAAGAAATCCAAATACCCGCGCGCGGGACGCGGCACGCGCGAGACATCCTTGGAATTCCTGCGCGAGGGGCGCTTTTCCGTGTCGCGGTCGGCTCTGCAAAACCAGCGTGTCGCTCGAGACATCCTCAACAAATTCTAAAACCAAGCGTTTCGCTCGAGACATCCCCAACTCTGCAAAACCAGCGTCTCGCTCGAGACATCCTCAACAAATTCTGAAAAACAAGCGTTTCGCTCGAGACATCCTCAAAAGTAATTCCGCCGGCCCTACTCCCGCACGTAATTTATCGCAGAATAATTTCGCCGGCCCTACAGCCGTCGAAACCGGGGGGAACCAACTAAAAGAGAACCCTGGGCTCGAGCCCTTTCCGGGAAAAAGGCCCTCAAGAGGCCCCAAGAGGCCCCCCAGAGGCTCCCAAGAAGCTTCGAAGAGGCTCCCAAGAGGCCCCACGGGGGCTCTCTTGGGCTGTCCTGAGGCGCTCAGAAGCCATTTTGAAGACCTCTTGAGAGCCTCTGGAAACGTTTTGGGGCCGCCGCTCCCTGCAGCTCCGCACTGCCGACGACCTCTCGGCCAGGCCACCGCGGTGCGCAACATGGGCCGGCGGAGTGAGCGAAACGATTAAATTATTGCTGATCTCCGGAAACGGTTCCACGCGCTCTCGCCTCGACGCCGGCTACATTTTCGCTGAAAGCGAAGCTCCCGCTCGAGCGTTGGCTTGACCCTGAATGTGGGTCCTTGGAGGCCCAGCTATGACAACAACAACTCCCGCTCGATACTTCCTCACATTTTACCCCGAGACAACCTGGCCAGAGAGGCCCCCGAACGCAGGAACGGCGCTCTCGCTTGAGACTTCCTCGCAATTCAACTAAGTTCGCGGAGGATCAGCCACGACGACAAGGGCTCCTGCTCGATGCTTCCTCACGATTTACTCCGAGAGCCCCTGGAAAATAAGGCCCCCGAACTCAGGAACTGCGCTCTCGCTCGAGACTTTCCTGTAATTCAGGCAAGTTAGTGGAGGCCCGGACACGGCGGCAAGGGCTCCCGTTCGATATTTCTCCATAGGTATTACAAGAGCCCTTGGCCAGA